CTTGAATGTGAAAACTTCCTGCTTACCAAAATGTTGCGTACAATGTTATGCACTTGCCTGGAAAAAACCAAGCGCAAAGAAACCCTTGGCTTAAGCTGAAGTTGCCCTTCACTGGAGTTCATCTCAAGCACAAACAGCAAAGCAGCCAAGAGATAAGTATAAGCTTCAGCCATCACTTCCCCTCCCATGTACACCGATGGCATTCAGCACTAAACCCCACCATACCCGTTCTTTGCTGTTGGTTCCTGATTTTTGCTACTATTCTGTGATTCATGGCTTGTCTTGGTAGCTTAGGTGGTGCAGTCTTTTTGGAATAAGCAAGAAGATCAGTGACAAAAGATAATCTGTCTTTAGGAAAAGATTATTCAGTATTTTTTTGGCAAATATCAGTTCAGTGCTTGCCGTACGTAGCATAAAACATGCTGTAGAATTTGAGGCCAGGTGTCCAAAGAGGAAATGCACCTGTTCCATGGGAATTCCTTCCTCCRGAGTTACTGCTTTGCAGTGCCTGGTGCTCTGTAGTAGTAGTAGTGTGCCAATAAATCACTGGTTTGGACATAAAAGGACAGCAGAGACTTCAGGTTGAAGAGGTCTACAGGGGGCTGTTTAGCACAGGAATCGTTTGTGGATTGCCTGAAGATGTTCAGTGTGTAGCCCCCGGAATGTCTTCCACTTGCTTTAGAAATGCTGTTGACGGATAAGCAACTGTGGAAAAATGGGTTTCTTCCTTTGCACCTAGCCCTTCTGTTGTTATGTTCCCTTGGAAATTTTAAAGTCTCTGCCTGGATTGCAGTCTCTTGTGTTGCCTGTCATGTCCTTGCCTTATTTTGCCCTGTCTGCTGTAAAAGTAACACCAGGAATCTTGTCAATTTTCCCCCAGCCACTGCTAAACCTACAAGTGGATCTGCTGGATCTTCAAAAAATCTTCATGTGGACCACGGACGCGGTCTCTGTGGGAATAACAGGTTTGCCACTCTTGGGATGAGGGTGTAAAAAATGGCTCCTTTAGGGAGGTGGGTTAGGGCTTATATAAGGTAGGGGTAGAATTTGCTAGAAGAAAGGGAGGGACTAGGG